CTGCCAGGCAGGGGTAAAGGTGTATTCGTTCAGTGACAGGCAGCGGGCGGGCGTGGGGACTAGAAGACCCCGCGTGGTGCCGAGTGAGCGGGGGGCAAGCTTTATCGGCAGCTTTCATGACTGAGAGCTTGATGACGTGCCGGCTAGCTCCTCATGGTCGCGGGAACGCAACGATAGAAGCAAGCTTCAACGGAAGGGACTGGGTAGAGGTAGCGGGGAGGTTCGAGTATAGAGAGCGATGCCTCATCACGGGGGTGGAGCCTTCGCTCGGACTGATGGGAGGGATCACGAGTGTCACGTTGACAGGAGTCGGGTTGAAGGGCCTAGGCAAGAGCCGGTGCCGCATCGGGAGCAGCTGGGGGTCAAGGCTACTGGAGGTTTCAGACGCGCTTGTGATTTGCGGAGCACCAGAGGGCGGGTGGGGCTCTGTGATGCCTCCGGGAGATGTCGGAGAGGCAGATGGCGGGCGTGTGAAAGGCCTCACGGTAGGTTTGATGCTGGAAGGAGCTAGTCAGGAGGCGTGCGAAATGAAGGAGGCATACTTTCTGTACTCACCGCTGCGAATAGACAGCGTTTCGCCTTCCAGCTTGGTACAAGGTCGTCAGACGGTAGTGACGGTGGTCGGACAGACTTTCGATGAGGCCAGGAGGGTAGGATGCAAGTACTCGGAAGCTGCTGGGGCATCCTTGCAGAGCGGCGCATCCTGGGATACACAGGAAGGGACGGTGATCACGTCGTCCATGGCACTATGCAAGAGTCCCCAGATGTCCGGGAAGAGCGAAGACTTGTCACTCCAGGTCAGCTACGATGGTGGACAGCTCTCGTCGAGCCGACTGTCGATACGTTATATCCCAGAGCCGACGATTACAAGGCTAGAGCCAAGCGCTGGGTCAAGCGCAGGCGGCCAGGTGATCACGGTGATTGGGAGCAACATGAGAGCATCCAGGTCGGGCACCTACTGCCTTTTCGGGAACCGAGGTCAGATGCCAGCCTTGCATGTCACGACCAGCTCGATGGAGTGTGTTTCTGCTCGACAGAGTAGCCCGGCGAATGTGTCGTTTGAGGTTTTGTTTACAGGGGTTGAGACTTTCACTCGGAGCCAGGTCACCTTTTTGTACATGAATGATAGTACGCCCTTACTGAGGCCGAGCACCGGGCCTACGCGAGGAGGGATAAGCATCTCTGTGTACGGCATCTTGCGATTAGAAAGCACTTCTTTGTCAGTGACATGTACCTTTGGTGATCGTCGTGTCAGCGCAATACTCCAGACGAGCTCGCACAATCGTCTGCGTCCTAGCTCACAGCGAGGAGGAAGGCAGAGCGGGTTTCATCTTCGCGAAGGGTCCCGCGAGCTAGGCTCAGGTCACTTCCTGTATCGTAGACCGAATACCTCATTGGGGTATCACCCTTCATAGAACGTTGTAAGGGGAGGGGTGGTCGTAGCTCTGCA